GATTATTAAATAATTTTTTCTGTATTATTATTGGTTAATATGTATTGAAAAATAGTTAATATTAAAAAATACTGCATTAATAACTTACAACTAATTGTTTCTTAATTTATATGAAAAAACCAAAACATGAAGGAGTATTATAAACACTTGACACTCTAAATAAACGGTTTATTAAGTTCATCCTATATAGACACTTTGATGGAGGGGTCAAATAATTAAATGATTTGTTAATCCTTTTTACTTTTAAAACACTCTTAAAAGAGTGTTACCATTAATGATGCCCTAAGAGTAATTTACTTTAACATTGTAAAGGAGGTTTTACCAACTGATAACAAAAACCTATTGTGCTTGAGTATACATATGTGAAAACATTGTAACAAGTCCATTATCTAAAAAATCCTCTTTAAGAGCCCTAATCTTACATCTTTATCTGATAATATTGCTGCTAATAATGGCCCTTGAGGATTTAATGTGGTAGAAGTAGTTTTTTTCCAACTGTACAAGAGGATTGTTTCCTCAACATCAACTTCCATAACCACACAGAGATTCTCCTGCATCAAAGGTAAACAAAAAAAAAGGCAATGTGGTTCATGAGAATTTGGTAAACTGGTCATTCGAGCTATATGAATGACAGAAAGAAATGGGTATATTGGGATGTAATTATGATAATTGTGGACTGCGTTCAGAGAATTTCTCACCTGAGCTGATTGAATACTCTGTCTGAAATTGGAAAAGTGTTGCAGTTGAAGGAATCTGTAAAAGAAAAAGAGAGAAATGTGTAGAACTTGCGGGCGGGTGCTATAGCGCACTCAGCAGTGCAAGAAACTCTGTGTGATCCTCGGCTTCCCTAACTATCTGTGAACAAGAAGAAGAAACAAGTTATCAGTTACACACAATCAGCGAATCATAAAAATATAAGAATCACAATAAACTGTAAAAGGATCATAACAAAGAGCACCGAGCAGTCTTCAAACTTAGTAAATGATTCAGAGAAGCCCACATGCTGGCTATTACCTTTATAGGGGTATCTTTTGGCAAGTCTATATGAGACAAAATGGTTTCACCAACATGTACCCAATCAACCTTCTCCACAGTGTCCACCTCTTTGTTGCTATCTAACAGAGAACAGTTGTTATCGAGAGAGAATGACTTTCCTATCCAAATGTACAAAATCCTACTACCGGTTTCTCCTACATCATCACTTGGCAATGAGATTGCTATAACAGATTCCGAATCTAAATCAGCTCTGTTCAGTTCTGAAATCATCTCCATACTTGGCCACCGACATGCTAAAGGCTGGCCCGGGTCGCCTCCTCCTGGTTCATGTTTATCAGATGTACTGCAACTGATTAAAGATATCATTTCCCTCTGCGGCAAATCTGAATCTACAATTCTGCCAGAAGGTATTGTCCCTTTGCATTCACTTAATGGATTTAGATCACAATTTCTAACACCCTCCAAGTTGAAGACAATGTCATTACTATCATCCGGATGTAAAGTGAAGGCAGTTGTGCCTCTGTTGGAATCAGCTAAACCTGGAAGCTTCAAAGGCCTTTTCAGACTGCCCCGACGCTCTGCAAGAGAAGGCGAAACCTTTCTATTTGGTGATAGTTCAGTGTAAGGCTGTGGAAAATTATTGACGCCACGAGAATCTTTAGGAGAAGTTTCAGAAGGGAGGAGAGAGAGGCTGGAAAAGTTGGGCAATGTCAAAGCTGGTGGAATAGAAGGTCTCGAGGACGAGAGCCCAGAAGGCTGTGAGAAACTCCTTAGGCTATTGCTTAAATTTGTTGTGCATAC